GATGTGGCCATATTTGGGCTATTTTTTCCAGATACCTCAAGCACCCACACTGTCATCATGGTGAATACTTACTCTGATGAGCGAAGCACCATTATTGTCTCTGTTTTACAGATGAAGAAATTGAGGCCCAGAAAGGGTAATTGACTTGCTCCAGGACACACAGATAGAGACATGGTAGAAAGAGGGTTCAAACCCAAGTCTGTCCAATCTGAAAGCATTTGCTGTGCACACAATGCTGAATCACCTCTCACATTTTGGGACTGTGTACGTCCGTGTGTTGGTTTGGATCACAAGCACTGTAGACGATCATGGTCAGCACAAAGTGGATTGTTTCCCAGAAACTGTGTATGTTCTTTCTCTAGCTGTACATCTGGAGAGAGTACTGCTAATTAAGCCGCTGGGCGGAAACAAGAAGAAATTTACTTTTCCCATGAAAGACCAGTGGAAGCCCCCTAAGTAGTCTGCCATCAGCCTGCGGCTGACAAGCATTAAGGCATAACTGAGCTCAGGGAAAAGCACCGTGGAAAGAGTAATCATAGAGCAGGACCAGGAAAGAAACCTGTGTTGAAAAGGACAATGGACTACTGTGAAGAAAAACAATGTACTGAAACAAAGTTCTCCATATTAGGATATATATCATTACATCACATTTATTTATCTTTCTGCATACTTTTATAGCCTGTAATAAAAACATTAAAATAGCCCAAATGGGGCACCTGGGTGGCTCTGTCAGCTAAGTGTCTGACTCTTGATTTCGACTCAGGTCATGATCTCAGGGTCGTGAGATCAAGCCCCCCATGTGGCTCTGTGCTGGGTATGGAGCCTGCTTAAGATTCTCTGTCTCCCTCTCCCCCTCTCTATGCCCTCTCTCTCTCTCCCTCAAAAAAAAAAAAGCCTCCCCCCCAAAAAAGGACAATGGAAATGAAACAGAAATAAGAGGCCCAGTTATTCTCACTACAGAGAGAGCAAGAAAGGCAGAAAACACTGCAGACATAGGGCCTGTAGAAAAAAGCCTGAGAATAAAGAATATGGCACAAAGAAAGTTACCTTCAGATTAACAATAAGGAAAAAATACATTCAGAGCAGACTACTGGAGGTCAGAAAGCCTATGAACAATCCATAATTCATTTCTAAGGTTTAAATGTTTTCTCACATGAAGCAGGCAGTGGACCGTGTGCAGAATAGAAGGAGCTGGCCCCTAGAATCAGAGTGAGGGGCCCACGCCTTAATATCGGGCTCATTTATGGCAACTGGATCCTCAGTGGTCTCATTTATAAAATGGGAATAAGAACAAGACTGAAGAATTTATGGGAACTGCTTTAGCACAGTACTTTGGAGGAATGAGTAACAAAGAATCATTGCAGTTGGTTTCTGCAACCTCATCAGAACAAAAGGTAATGAAGCTTGTTAAGGAGTCCAAGTATCTATTCATGTATTCAAATGGAATTGACTTTGCACTTGTTCATGGCCACAGCTGTGACTAAGAGGCTGGATATCTTCACAGAACTGATAGGCTAGTGGAATAGGCAATCCTAGATATAAGAGCAGAAGCATGTTAGGGAAATAATGGGTGCTAAGAGAATTATTGGGAGAGGGGACGGGGCTCAAATTTGGCTGGTCAGTGAGGGCTTCCTGGAGGAAGCGTCGTCTCAGACCAGATGAGAAAGTTGTAAAGGGGCTAAGTAGAGAAGAAAGGAGTTTGAGCTGGATGGATAGAAGAGACAAAAGAGGAAGCAGCTCGTGCAAAGGCCCTGGGCAGGAGAACACTGCACCTATGAGAAAGTTAAAAGTAGATCAGTGTGGCTGATGTGAGTCAACAGAGGGCACATAAAGCAGCGAGGCTGTGGAGGAAAAAATTCCCCGATTTTGTTCCCCGTAAGGAGTTTGGACTTTATCCCGAGGGTAAGGAGGAACCATTGAAGGATCTATAAGCAGAAGATTTAGTGATTCACTTTGTAGTTTAGAAAGATCGTTTGAGCTGGAATATACAAATGTCTGGATTAAGGAAAAACTAGAGGCAGGGAGACCACTTAGGTATTTGTAACCATCTAGGTGAGAAACTGTCGGACTTAACTAGGAGAGTTGCAGAGAAAACAGAGAGAAGTGAATAGAAATAAAATTTCTAGGACTTGGGGATTAATCCATCCATCTGTTCATTCATCCAACCAACTTTTATGAGTCTACCTTGGAGATGTAAGGGTGAGGTAGAGAGAAAAATTAAAGTTTTCCCCTTTGTTTCTGGGTTGAAAATAATGAGTGGTGCTGTTTACAGGGGTAGGAAACACGGAGTAAGGAGGTCTGGAGGAAAGACACTGAACCTCGTTTATAGAGATGATTGGTTTGGAGTAATGCCTTTATTTTTATAATGCAGATATCCTGGGGTCCCCCAGGCTATGAGCATAAATGAGGTAATGTTAACAATTAATAACCAAGTCTGGTGATATTTTAGCCCCTCTCATCTTTGCTCCTCCTCCACTTAATCCTGATTGTCCCCAAGAATGGGTTTCACGTGTATTTGGGAACAAATCTGTTGGCTGCCTCCTGCTCAGCCTTCCTTGCCATAGTGCCAAGAACTTCTTATGATGGTGGGCCATCTGTGACAAAACTGCTGCTCAGTTAGGAGCATCCCCAGTAGATGGCTACTCCGTGGTCTTTGTGGATGCCTACGTGTGTGTGCGCGCGCGCAGGCATAGGGAAGTTGGTGGTGCCCTTTTCACTAGATTTTCTCCCTAATAAATTAACAAGCACAGCGAGTTAATCTGTGAGTCTGTAAATAACACATGCCTTGCAGTTGGCATCGCTAAGAATGTCTGAAAGGACTAACAACTTTGCATCTCATCTTGAAGCATGAGTGGGTTGACCACCGTAGAAAAAAGAATCACGAAAAGGATGCTGGTCAAACAGTCTTGTGCATTTTCATCACCAGGTTGGTTTTGGATAGCAATCGTGGATAAAGAGGTGTGCTGGTGTAAAAGTTTTCTTAGTTTACGAATGACAGGGAATAAAAAACAACAACTTGGTGGTTGCAAACGTTTGCTTTCTGGTTTCTTCCAGCTTTAAAATAGACATGGTGCGGGGCGCCTGGGTGGCTCAGCCGGTTAAGCGTCTGCTTTCGGCTCAGGTCATGATCCCAGGGTCCTGGGATCGAGTCCCGTTTCAGGCTCCCTGCTCTGCGGGGAGTCTGCTTCTCCCTCTCCCTCTCCTTCTGTGTGTGCTCTCTCTCTCTAGCTCTCACTCTCTCTCAAATAAATAAATAAAATCTTTAATAAAATAAAATAAAATAAAATAGACATGGTGCAATGCAGAGGTTCTGGGCCAGTGATACTGAGGAGAAGGGGAATGGGGAAACATATCAGAATTAAGGAAGCAAAACAGTGCATGGGGCAGTCAAGAATGGCCTGGGGTGATGAGGTGTGAGAGGGAAAGGGGGAAAAGAGGAAAAGAAAATGAACACCTTACAAATCCCAAACAATGCACCCTATTTGGGCTTCCAACAGAGTTCTGCAAACAGAGAATAACCGTGAAATTGAACGTATCTTAAAACTTTGAAGGATGAAGAGTAACATATGTCTGTCTTGGTGTTCTTAAAAATGAACTGTGATAGACTAAAATGCCACATTCCTCCTCCTCCTAGGTTTACTAAATTAGAGGGTTTTCAAAAGAAATGCCTAAAATTTGTAGGTGAAACATGGGTGATCAGTAAGAGGGACTAAGTCCTGAGTAGTAGCCAGAGTCATGCTCAGACTTAGCAACCTGTTTATACTTCAAGGGAAAACAGACACTGGGAACATTCTAAAGGGAGGAAGGATGAAAGTTCTTCATTTTCTATAAAAGTCTGATTGTGATGTTTAAAGATTTCCACGAAACAAAAATATCCGGTGCCCACAGCTCATTTCCCACACGTAAAAACAGAATGGGAAGATTAGACAGTAGGAATAGAAGAAACATTTCCTTTTCATTTCTCCAAAATTTCCCACATACTTTTGCTGTTTTGCATAGAACTTCTGAAATCTCTTTTGAGGTCACCTACTTTGAGAGAATAGAGTCTTGGATTTTTCAGGTGATGTGGCAGTGAGCCCAGGAAACATAAATCTTAATTGCATTTTTCATTTTTGTTATTCTTATAAAAAAGAAAAGAGTATTTCTTCCCCCATCTTGCTAAGTTTTTGCTAGTTTGTGCTGTGAACTGACTGAAATAAAAATCCCTGTGTTAAACACTGAAAACCTGTATCACAAAAAGCTAAGCCAACCAGTAATTGTTTTATTCCTTATTTTTGCTTACATGGTAGCCAAGGTAGCAATGAAAGTCTCAGAGAGGTCTGATGGTTTTTAGTCCCCTGAACTTTAATGGACAAACAAGTACATTTCCACATGAACTGAAATCACTGAAGCCGTGGTAAATCAAGTAAGTAATAATAACGAAAATTCACATTACCAGTATGCTGCTATTTTAAAAATACAATCTTACAAAATAAAACCCACCTAACCGGAAGCTGTGGAATAATTTTAGCAATTGAAAATTACTACCTTCTCTAGAATAACATGTACTTAGAAACAAAATGACTCAGAAACCAACATGATGTATGTATTCTGCTTTCTCTAGAGCACATTCAACATCAATTCACAATATATCATGCCAAATATATTCAATAAGCAGTGCTTAAATAATTTTGTCGGTCTTTGCTGCATCTAAATATTCCGCCGTTTAAGTAAATTCATTTTGCATTAATGATGCAAAAATATTATTACAGAGATGCCACTCTTACTAAAAAGCTGATTTCTCCCTTAGCCCCTCTAGTACCACAAGCAGCCTAATTAAAAAAAAAGGGGTACATTGGGGGTACTCTTTATAAAATTGTTCATCCCAAATTCACATACATTGTGAAACATGAAATTAACTCCAGCATGTTAAAAGAAAAATTATGGATTAGCACAGAAATCAAACACAAAGAGAGACTATTCATTTTCTTTTCCATAGCCCCGAATTGCCATTAGCTTACCTTATTAGCTGAAATGCCAAACAGAATGTCTTTATGGAAAATTAAGTTCATTATTCATCTCAGCTTTGATTTGGTATAGTGCAGCTGAGAGCATTTAGCTTCTCTCTATGATTTGCCGATGCAAAGTGGGTGAGTAAGGCAGTAAACACAGAACTTGGGGGGTGGGGAGTGGTTGGCCATGGCTCACAACTCTAGACTTGCAACTTTACATTTTCATTCAGATGAAGATACTTAATGAAATCAAATCTTATAACTGCAGAATAACACTTAAGTAAATAGTGTGGATTTTTCAAGCCCATGCAATTTTGCCTAGCAGTTGTAGTTAGAGTCTTGCATGCTCGCTGTCCCAGCAAAATTACATTGCTCTCTTTCATTATCTCAGTAGATTCTTAGGCTATTGATTCACTTTGCAGTACATACAGTGGATAATGTATATTCTGTCAAGCAGAAATACATGTGGGGGAGTGAGCTCTACAATTAAAAAAAAAAACTGGTTGTCTGACTAGAGACGGAAAGACAGATGCATTTTACAGTTTTGATGATAAGTGTGCAGACACACATAAATTGGATACAACCTTCTAGTAGCTAATGAAGAGAGAGCCTTTAGGGTTCCAATAGGAAAATAACAATAGGCATCTGTCCACTGGACATCAGATTCACTTAAAAAATAAGTCATATTCTTTAATAATTCATTAATTTTCCTTAAATGAATTAAGCTTGTTTTGGAAACCTTTGGGCAAACACTTTTTCTTTCTTTAAAAAATGACTTCCATAGAAAACATCTCAGAAAAATCTCATTTAATTCAAGTGTGAGTCTCCTTCCCAGATAGGCGAAGGAAGTATTGCAGGGTCCTCTCCCAGGTGTTTCACTTCATGGAATTTGAACAGGTAGCATTTATTAAAATCCAACTTTTACCAAGTAAAATGTGCAATCATAACAATGAGACACGTCCAAGATTATCAAGTGACTGAGCAAAGAAATTTTAGCTTAAAGTCTTTTAAACCTTTCTGGTCTTTGTCACATTGCAGAACCAGACCCCAAAACTCTCCTCTCCTCAATTAATAAGAACATGGCTGCCTCCAGTGAAAATGATAAAGAAAAAGCAATAATTAAGTGATGGATTTGCTTCAAAATGTTAAACAGAGTTACTATATGATTCGGCAATTCCACTCTTACTCATATATCCAGGAGAAATAAAAGCATGTGTCCACAGAAAACCTTGTACACCATTATTCACAATAGCCAAGAAGTGGAAACAACGCTAATTTCCATCAACTGATGAATGGATAAAAAAATGTGGTATATCCAGAGCGCCTGGGTGGCACAGTGGGTTAAGCATCTGACTCTCGGTTTTGGCTCAGGTTGTGATCTCAGGGTTTCAGGACTCAGCCCTGCATCATGTCTGGGTCTGTGCTCAGTGGGGGGAGTCTGCTTGAGATCCTTTCTCTCTCTCCCTCTGCCCCTCCCCTCTGTGCTTGCCCATGCTCTCTCTCTCTTCCTAAAATAAATAAATCTTTTACAAATGTGAAACATCCTACAATGGAATATTATTTGGCATTAAAAATAAATTAAGTATTGATATATGCTATAACATAACTGAATCTTAAAAACAGTATGCTGTTGAGAAAGCCAGTCAAAAAAGGTCACATATTGTCTGATACCATTTATCTGAAATATCCAGAATAAGCAGAATCTATGGAGATAGCTAGTAGATTAGAGGTCACCCTGGACATGGGGTAGCAGTACTGGGAGGAGAATGCTAATGAATAAAAGGTTTCTTACGGGGGTGATGAAAATGTTCATGTTAGATTGTAGTGATGTTTGCACAACTCTGTGAATATACTGAAACCATTAAATTGTATATTTTAGATAAGGGAATCTTATTGTTGGTAAATTATGTCTCAATACACATATTAATAAAATTATTAACTTGTCATGAAACACTGCCATATAGTGTTTGTAATGATAAGAATTAATTATATGAAATAAATTCTGCAGAAGGTAGCTAGGGAGAAAATGGGAGAGTGTGAGGATAATACCAAATGTGGGAAACCCTTGGGGACCTATGAGCCATAGACCTACCCAAAAGAACCATTTGTGCTGGTGTTTAGTCAGAGCTAATTCTCAATAAAGAAAAAAAAAAACCCAAATCAGACAGAGTGAGAGCAGAAGGAAAAAGAGAAGGAGGATTACAATAAAGGAAGAGAAGGAGAAAGAGAAGAAAGAAGAAAGGAAAAAAGAGAAGGAGAATAAGGGGCAGACTTGTTTTTGATTGATAAGGGCAGATGATTCAAGGGAGAAAGTAGGATCACAAACCTTAATTCTGTTGATATACTATCAAATGATCTAGTTTGAGAATAAAAATAAGCTCTTTAAAGAAATCAAGAGCTTGTAGAAGGACAGTTTTAAAGCGTTCATATTAAAGGAGCTTGTTACAGACATGAGAGATGGGTTCTCCATCAAGGACGAATACAGGTAAGTGATGAGTGTCTATAAGAATTGCACCAAGAGGGCTAAAGCACAAATAAAGTGAAGTTCATAAATTGCAAAAGAAAAAGAAGAAGAAGAAAAAAAAACATTAAAAGGAATTAAAAAAAAAGCCAAGGACAGTTGAAAAAAAGGCCTTTTAAAAAGATGTGAATTGGAACAAGTAGAAGAACAAGGATAATCCCAAGCCTTGGTCCAGATGGTATAATGGTATAACAGATGATGATGAAGGTGGAGGAAGGGGAGGAAGGGCAGTGGGGGGGGGGGAGGAGGAAGACGACAAAACATGAAGCTCTCAAACTCTCTCATTTTCTCTATCAAAGAAAATGATCTACAAGATGGAAAGTGTAGAAGAAGAAGCAGCAGCATGGTGAAGAGAGCTTTGAATTCCAGGAAAACATCTTGTATGTGCATGACTCATAAGTTTATATTCTCATTCCAGATTTCCTATAGGAGCTTTTGGTACTTGACAACTTCACTTAGATACCTCACAGCACTTCATCTACAGCAGCACCTACCAAATCAAGTTCACTTTCTTCTCCCTCCTCCGCTGGCCACTCCTGACTGCAGCTCTTCCAGAGCTCCCCACTTCAGTGAATGGAAGCCCCATCTTTCATGCAAGTCAGAAACGTAGGTTTCATTTTGGACACTTCCCTCTCCCTCTACATCACCAAGTCCCGTAGATCTGGAATCTCTGGACAGTATCCCACCTGCCTCAATATCACCATCACCACCCTAGTCCATCCACCATTGTCTTGCACCTGGAATACTCTATTTACCTTTTGTTTCTTCTGCTGCTGCTGCTTTACTTGTCTTTTCACTCCATCTAAAGGTATGTTTTCAGAAGGCAAAGTGGATATCAGTTTTCCCTGTGTCTACCCCCTACACACAAAAGCATGGATATAAAGATTCAAATTTTAAACATGACCCCTCAGGCCCTGAGTGATAGAGTCCTGCCTATCTTCCCAGACTCATCTTGCACCGTCTTCATGACCTAGCCACACTAGATTTATCTCTGACCCTTTTGTTTTTTCCTGCCTTTGCATGATCCCTTTGGCTCATTGTCTAATTTACTCTAGCTCTTTCTTCAGACCTAATCTCAACCATTACTTCTTGGGACATGCTTCCCTGAACTTCTTAAGTCAATATGTTATTAGAGTATCATAATCTCCTTTATAGGTATCGAGCAAAGTGGTCACTTGGGATAGGTTTGCAGTAGGCTCAGAAGGTGCGTGGGCCACTACACTCTTGGCATCTTTGAAGAGACCTGCTTGGGTTGAGTCTCTTAGTTAAATGAACTATGGAGAGACCTGCCTCTCCATTGGTCACTCTTCTAAGGCAAGTATGGAGAATGCATTGCTTGGAGGAAAGGCAGGGAATAAACATTCTGGGCTCAGGGACCCAGCAGTCTGATCTTAGGTGCAAGGTTTTTAAGAGTGTTAAGAAATACCAGTTGCCCATTCCCTAGAATCCATAGCGGCCCTAGTCATGTGGGGAGCGGAATTCAGCCAATTCCTCCCAGTAAAGAAAATGACAGCACTGACTGCAGACAAGGGGGAGTTCCCACCAGTTCAACAGTAGCTCTGCCATGCAGTAAATTTAAATTTATTTGTGCAATTGAATTTAGTAATATTTATCTCCCCACTGACAGATAATAAGGAGCATGAGAGGAGGAATCATGTCTGTTTCTGATCATCATTGTATCCTTTGCAACTACATAGGGCCTGGCAATAGTACACATTTAATAAGCATTTTTTTTTGAATGAATATAGGAAAGAGCTCTTAAATTGGCAGACTGTGGTGAGAGGGTAATGACAGTATAATTGCTACTAGCAAAATAATTTAAGGCATGTATTCGGTGTTGGGAGTCAGGGCTATTCTTCCTGTTTATAAAATCTGACCATTCTCTCTTTCCTTGGTCAACATGGCTGTGATGTCACTACTGCCTGGTAGATCCACTATTAGTCTGACACATACAATTTGCTTGCAGGATGTTAATTTAAAATACCATAAGATTTATTAGATTAATAAATTAATAGAATAAATTAATTTTCTCAATAAAAATGTTTTCCTTTTTAAAAAGACACACCTATAAACATTAAGCTTAAGTTTTTGTGCCTATGCAAATGACATTTTTATGTACTCAAGGAACTTTTTGTAGGACTCCAGAATCAAAGTGGCGAATCTTAAAGATTGTTAAAGGAAATGCAGTAAGACAAAGATGGACAAGGCTTTTGAATCAACCAAAAGATAACAGCTTGATGGGCTTGAATTTATAATGCAGCATCATCCTAGAATAGGCTGTTAAATAGAAGGTCTCTGAGCACAAGGAAAAGCAGCCTGGGATTATGAAGAAGTAGGATGCTAAGCTGACTGTGCTTTGTTTTTATTTATTTTTATTTTTTTTAAAGATTTTATTTATTTATTAGGGAGTGAGCGCGAGAGAGTGAGAACACGAGTTGGGGGGTGGGCGGGCAGAGGGAGAGGGAGAAGCAGACTCCCCACTGAGCAGGGAGTCAGATGACACGGGGCTCGATTCCGGGAGCCCAGAATCACGACCTGAGTGGAAGGCAGATGCTTTAACCGACTGAGACACCCAGGCACCGCCCTTTATTTTTATTTTAGAAAATCAACTTGGTTGATAAGTAAACACATG